AGATTCCTGGCCGAAGCATCAATTGGAAAAAAGGAACACCTGGTATAATTACTTCGGTTTTCTTACATGCGTTACTATATTACGGTTTTAAATTTTCTGTCGAGCTAACAGTTGTCTTCTTTTGTAGATTCTGCCCACCTCCATTCTCTATACAGCTACCCAAATCTAGCGACCTTGTGCGCCGCACTACGGTATCCAGAACATAGTTGGGCCAAGCTGCTAAAGTTCAAACCAACCTATAGATACAGCGGCCGGCGAAAAGCGAGACTAACCGACTTTCTGCTAAAGGAGGCCCCAGAACCGGACCCAACCTTGCCAGAAATAAGACTAATCCCACTGACCACTGAAGAAGAAATGGCCAAAAGAAATAGAGTCAGGGCACTATTGACCGAAACAAACAGGCCCGAAGTACCTCCACCAGGCCAAACCCAACTTGCCGTTGTGGCCCTTCCTTCTCAACAGCCTTCCTCATCACGCCCATCCAAGCGCGCCCGATCTACCCCGACCGAGCAGCGTCTTGTGGATGACAACGAATCCATCCCTCCACCAATTCCACAGCCAGAGCCTTCTGATCGGGCTGGCTCTTCCAGGTGGGCGCCGAAGCTGAAATTTCAGAACCGCCTTATTCAAGATACTGATTCGGTGGTTGCTGAGAAGAATCACTTGATGGCCTTCAATCTTGACAAAAGTGTGTGCCTTCCAGCAGACATGGAACACCACCAAAATTTGACCAAGCTAAAGGCCATTCGATCGGCCACCAAGTCCATGATCCTGGTATGTTGCCCCTTATCTCTAAATTTTTTTTTTTTCAAACTTTCAGTTCGGTTTCCTTATTGATTTCTTTCCATTCATTTCAGTCTCTTCAGAAGAGCCAAATTGCCCACCAAAAAGTATTGGAGCTCAGGAAAACGACTAGGCAAGCCTTGGCAGAGGTTGAAGAAAAAACAACCGAGCTGAAGAAGTTCCAACAAAAAACGGCCGAGCTGGAGGCTGAGGTAGCTCGTCTAACCGGACTAGTTACCTCGACCGAGGATGACAAACAGAAGGCGTTGATCGTAATGAAAGACAAGTACCTTCGTGAGCTAGTCAAGCTCGAAGGGAAAAAGGACGCCGAAATAGCCGATCTAAAGAAGAAGGTCGGTGATGCCAACGCCGAAGGTTTCAAAGAGGCGGAGGGCCTCTACATTCCACAATGCGAGGGGGCGAAGGATTCATTCTTTAAGTGTGGTTGGAGAAGTGCTGTGGAACAGCTCGGCTGTGGGCCCGAAACCGAGGTCTACAATGCTCCGCAGTACTTCATTCCGGCCTCACTAGCGGAATATGCTGCTTCTGTCCAACAACAATTTTTGCAAGGTTCAGATGATGAAGATGAAGAAAACGAACCAACTGTTACTCCGGTAGTCAACGAGCAAGGCAACAATCAATCAGCTCGGTTGGAGGCAACGGTTGAAGACCTGACTGTTGAGCTGTCGATTGACATCGTTCTGCCAGTTGCTACTGAGACTAATCTTCCATCTGCAACCGGTGTTCAAGTTGATATCGACGCCGACCTTGAAGACCTTTTTACTTGATCCTGCACTTTCTTTTCGTTGTTACTTTTTGCTCTTGTAACCGGGCTATAGCCTCCCCTTTGTAATTTGCTTTTTGATGAATGAAGAATTTTTCTTGTTTTGAACTCTTACTTCGGTTGATCTGCATGTTTGTACTTGTAATAACTTTTTCATGATCTTTTCACTTCCAACTGTTATCTCGATTGAGATAGTTTAATCTTGTCTTAGCTGAGTAATCTGACTGAGCTGTCCAACCAACCACTCTTTAGCCGATGTACTTACTTCGGCTAAAGAGTACCACGAGTTGGTTTAATCTAGCCAACCACACTTTAGCCGATGTCCTCACTTCGGCTAAAGAGTAACAAAGGGTTGATTTAATCCAGCCAAGCACTCTTTAGCCGATGTCCTTACTTCGGCCAAAGAGTAACAAGGGTTGGTTTAATCCAGCCAACCACTCTTTAGCCGATGTCTTTACTTCGGCTAAAGAGTAACAAGGGTTGGTTTAATCCAGCCAACCACTCTTTAGCCGATGTCCTTACTTCGGCTAAAGAGTAACAAAGAGTTGGTTTAATCCAGTCAACCACTTTTTAGCTGGTGTCCTTACTTCGACTAAAGAGTAACAAAGAGTTGGTTTAATCCAGCCAACCTCTACATTGGTTTTTCCAGCCAACCTTTAGATTGGTTTTTCCAGTCAACCTAAAGTAAAATGTTTGGTTATTTCGACCAAACGTCCTGCAGCCTGGATCCTTATCCTGGGCTTAGAAGGGGTGGTGGTTTAATCCAGCTAACCTCTAAGTTAGTTTTTTCTAGCCAACTTAGAATAAAATGTTTGGTTATTCCGACCAAACGTCCTGCAGCCTGGATCCTTATCCTGGGCTTAAGAGGGGTGTTGGTTTAATCCAGCCAACCTTTAGATTGGTTTTTCCAGCCAACCTAAAGTAAAATGTTTGCAATGTTCCTATCTTCAGTAAAACTAACTTTTGCATAAAACAACTATGCTGAAAAGAATCGACTTGTTTTATTGAGGAAGGAAAAATTACATATGTTTGAAAGTGGAAAGCTAAAAATAAAATATCTTGAGATTGGCGGTGTTCCATGGCTTAGGGATTGCTTTGCCGTCCTTGTCTTCTAGGTGGTATGCCCCTTTGTCTGCTAACCCAACCACTTTGTATGGACCTTCCCAATTAGGCCCTAGCTTGCCATCTCCTAGTACCAGGGTGTTTCCCATCACTTTGCACATCTCCGATCTTGAATTGCCTTGGATGTACTGTTTTGTTGTATTTCTTGGATAACTCTTATTGATATAAGGAAATGTGAACTAGTGCTTTTTCTCTTTTTTCTTTTGCAAGGTCGAGTTCCAATGTGATGGCTTCGCCGTTTAGGTCTGGATCAAAATTTTCACTTCGAATTGTGGGGAGGCCAACTTCCAGTGGGATTACTGCTTCCATTCCGTAGGCTAAGGAGAATGGTGTTTCTCCTGTTGATCGCCGAGGTGTAGTGCGGTAAGCCCATAGGACATGAGGAAGTTCATCCGCCCATTTGCCTTTTGCTTTTTCTAACCTTTTCTTCAGGCCATCCAAGACGACTTTGTTTGATGCTTCTGCTTGGCCATTTGCTTGAGGATATGCCGGTGTAGAATTGCAGAACTCGATCTTGTATTCTTCACAAAAGCTTCTGAAGATTTTGCCGTCGAACTGAGTACCATTGTCAGATATTATGGCTTTGGGTATGCTGAATCGAGTAATAATATTTTGCCAGACGAATTTCTTAACATCTTTCTCCTTTATTGATGCAAGTGCTTCGGCCTCCACCCACTTTCTGAAGTAGTCTGTTGCTTCGAGAAAGAACTTTCTGTTGTCCGGTGCTGTTGGAAGTGGTCCCACTATGTCCAGGCCCCACATTGCGAAGGGCCATGGGCTAGTTAATGGTAGAAGCTCTCTGGCTAGTTGGTGTATCTAGTGTGCGAACTTCTGGCATTTCTCACATCTCTTGACATACTTCTCAGAATCTGCTTACATGTATGGCCACCAATATCCTTGTGAGATTGCCCTGTAAGCCAATGATATTCCCCCTTGGTGGCTTCGCATGCGCCTTTGTGTATCTCGAACAAAAATGCCTCGACCTTGCTAGGATGGACACATTTCAAGTAAGGTCCTGTGAAGGATTTTTTGTATAACGCCAATGATGGAGAGAGCCAAAATCACTGTGATTTTGCTCTAATTTTGTTGGCCTCTTTCTTTTCTTCAGGCAGGATGCCATCTTTTAAGAACAGTATGATGGGGTCCATCCATGAAGGGCCTAGTTCGGCACAACATACCTCAACTACTTCGGGTTCTTCAATGCTTGGTCTGGGTAGGAAGTCGGTCAGCAGTGGGTGTGGAATAGATGTATCTATCATTGAAGCAAAACCTGCTAGCTCGTCTGCTCTACTGTTCTCTTCTCGGCCGATTTGTTCTATCCGAACTACTTCGAACTTCATGATTTCCTTTCTAACTAACTCTTGGTACTTAGCCATTCTCTCATCTTTTGCCTCGTAGTCGCCTGAAATCTGGTTTACTACCAGCTGTGAGTCACTGTAAACCATTAGCTCGGTGGCCTTCATGAAAAGTGTTGATTTTAGGCCTGCTAATAGTGCTTCATACTCCGCCTCATTGTTGGATGCTGGGAAGCCAAGATTGACTGTAAACAACATCAAATCCTTCAGGGCAGCTCTACCAAGTAAGCCTTCACTTTACATATTTACAGCATCTGAATTTGCATTCACGCCCGACTGATCACTTACTTTTGTGCAGAGAAAAAGAAGGAGATTACTCCTTGCTGCTGCTGATGATGACGATGCTTCCACTTCTCCTCAACACATTCATCAAATTCCCAGTCCAATCAGTAATGTACCCACAGAACCCACTGTACAACCAACTCCACCACCACCTGAAGCATCGCAACAAACTCCCTTACAACCTGCTTCACAGTCTTTGCCACAGCAATCCACACAGTCTGCATCACAACATCCTTCCACTTCTCTTCAACACATTGTCCCTTCTATCTTTAGCCCTCAACCATCACCATCCAACCCCTCCAATTCCCAAACGTCAAACAAAGAATCTCAGAGGATTGAATTTGACATTTCAATCAACAGCCAATCCTCTCCAACAGATGACAACACAAAATCCCCTCAACCAGAAGTTCACCACAACCAAGGTAAATAGAAATACAAATGTTACTGTTCGTTTGGGAAAAAAAAACTTCTCTTTAAGTAACTGGTATTGTTCTCCAATTTACAGGGATGGACATAATACAGGACTCATCTCCACGACCAATGGGCGAGACAGAACTTGAAGGTCCTCATGACTTTCCCCTGCTAGCAGAACCAGAGAAACACCCTCAAGGCGCTGATGCTGCCATTTCATCAGTACCAGAAACAACTCGTCCTCATGCGACAACCATAGCTGAACAAGGCCAACCGTCTGTGTGCACGTTATCAGGACAGGTACTACCATTTCCAACCTCATCCTATTTACTCTTTATTACTTGCAAGCATATATTCTCACCAAACTATTAATGTTCACAGGCCGTCGGTCCATGCCAGGATATTTGGGCCGAAGTTTCTATTCTTCAACAAGATCTAGACGAAATATCCCCATTGCCTCAAAGGCTACATCTGTTTGATGCTGAAACTCAACAAACCTTAACCACCTTCATCAACCTCATTAACACCCCAGTTGAAGAAATCATTCTCCACAAACCTGATGAAACCTTGGCCTGTCTTTCTGCTGTTGTAAACCTCTCCCCTAATCCTTTCAACCCCATTCAACTAAAGCAATTGGCCAAGATCATCACAGAATGGCCAACCCTTTCAGAGATGGTTCAGACTTGCTCGAAGGATATTCAAACCAATAAGGATTTCCTAAACGAAGCCCACACCATATCTACTTCACTCAAACTCAGCCAGCAGACCTCTGCAGCCATTCTTCAGCAACACTCAGCACTTGAACTTGAGGAAGCCAAACTCATGGCAGAACTTGCCTCTGTCCGGCAAAGAAAGGCTCATCTGCAGCAGCAACACGACCAGCTTAATCAAGAAGCAAGGATGATGCTCTCCCAAATTAGACATCGTTCTGCATCCATTCAGACAACTAAAGCTGAGTTGGACCAAGCCCAAGCCATGCTGGCAGATGCTCAATCAGAGTGGGGTGTTCTAGCCGTTCTGTTCCCCGAATCCTAGGCTAGTTTATATATGTATTCTTTTGTATTGCACACCTAGGAATGATTTGGAAAGGTAGGAATGATTGCCTTTTTAATGATAAGATTGTTGATGGGCCTGAATTGGCTGAGATGGTGAAAGTGAGGGTTGCACTTTGCTGTAAGCAAAGTTATAGAGGCCTACAGTATTCATTGGACGACATATATTGTATTCTGGATAGTATCAAAGTCTCATTTAGGGGGTGGTGTTTGGTGTTTTTTGAAACTGAGGTGCAGGAGTTTGGTCAAGCTGTGGTATGCAGGATTTTGGTCAGTCTGTGGTATTACCATATCTTCTTGGTGGCTACTTTTGCTCTGCTGTGCTTCAATGTTGCTATGCTTTGCCTTATTTTTGGCTTGTTGCTCTGGCTTAGTTTATGGGGTCAAGCATGCTCATTTCTGGTTGCTGCTCTGTTGTGCTTCAAATCTGCTCTGCTATATATGTACTCTGCTGCTACTATATGGGATCAACGAATAGGCTTAAGTCTGCTGCTGGATTGGGGAAAGTTATTGGAGGTCTGCTGCGGGCCTTGTTGTAATTGTTGGTCTGCTGCTGTACTAATTTTTTTTTTTGGAGGTTGAAGGATCAGGCTCAAGTCTTAATGGAGGTTGAAGGTTCAGGCTCAAGTCTCAATGGTGGCTGTATGGTCTGAAGTTTGTTCATGCTGCCTTGGAGTTTCATCTGGTTGCCCTGTTATGTGGTTTTGTGAGGATGGGCTTGGAGTTACATTCTTATTGTTTTCCTTCTGTTTTTGTTTCTCTTCGTTGGTCTCCAACCTCCTCTTTGTTGATGTATCATTGACACCTTGTATGTGCTTTTTTATCAATACAGTTTTTTGTTTTGCTGAACAAAAAAAAAATTGAATATCAATACTCTGTGTTTTTAATGGTCTGTTGTATGGTTGTTTTTATTTTTTGTGCAATTTTTCACCGTTTGTGCATTATTATGAAGTAATCAATTCCCCTTCAAAGTGCATTATAGTCACCGCCATTTGTTTCTTCTGTGGGCTTTTTTTTGCTCTGAACAAAAAAAAAATTGAATATCAATAATCTGTGTTTTTAATGGTCTGTTGTATGGTTGTTTTTATTTTTTGTGCATTTTTTCACCGTTTGTGCATTTTTATGAAGTAATCAATTCCCCTTCAAAGTGCATTATAGTCACCGCCATTTGTTTCTTCTGTGGGCTTTTTTTTGTTTTTTTTTTGGACAAAATCATGGCATTAAAAAAAATCGAACAAACATAATTCATGTGGTAAAAGCGAACAAACATTACTACTTTCAACTTGCATTGTTTGTTGGACAAATATCACATTGCACTAGACAAACATTAGTATAGTCATTTGGGCAAATATGACATTGCATTGTTTGTTCTGTACTGTACCCATAACATTGGAATTATGTGTATCACATTACGTACAGGCCACGATAAAACCAAACAAACATGACTACTTTCCCTCGTTTGTTCGAGTCCCAAACATTGGAATTATGTGTACAATCAATACGCGTGGGAAATTAGTATTATCACAGCTGCGACCTAAAAAGTTGTCACGACAAGCTGATGCAGTAATCCAGTTGTGGTTGGGCATCGAAATTACACTCGTACTGGCAGGCCATGATAAAATCGCTGCACTATTTGTTGTAATTGCAATCAATCACATGCACGAACGATACTCGCCCATCTTTGTATTGTTCACATCCATAACGAAGTCAAGCACCAACTTCCGGCGCACAGAAGGATGAAACTATGTACAGAAAGCGAATAACACAAATCAGGTACGGTTACAGCGGTAGGGAATAAACGGATTTATTTCACAATTGGAAATTAAGCGGTACAATGTACCTTGTGTGGACTGCTGGGTATATCAGGCCGCTGCATGTACTTCATCACAAACATCCCATAGTCGAAAGTGCTACAAATGAAATGTAACATTCAGTTTTTCGTAAAATATAAGCAGGTTCGTTAAATGAGTGATTCAAGAGTGAA